GATCTTTTCAGCCATCTCAGAAGAAGGTAGGAATATAGATGGAATTATGCAGGAAGGATCTGTGAATGAGCCTCTTTTCTAATGACATGATATGCCTGTCCCCTCATTTGCCTTCCACCATGGTTGGAAGTTTTCTGAAGCCTCCCAGAAGCAGATGATGCTATGCTCCCTGTACAACCTACAGAACTGTGACCAATTAAATATCTTTTCTTACAAATTACCTAGCCTCAGTTCTTTCTTTATACCAGTAAGAGAATGAACTAATACAGACGTCATCACACTGCTATAAATACCTGACACTATATAATTATAAAGGAAAGAGATTTGATTGACTCACAGTTGTACATGGCTTGGGAGGCCTCAGGAAACTTACAATCGTGGTGGAAGGTGAAAGGGAAGCAAGGCACCTTCTTCACGAGGTGACAGAAAGGAGAAGAGTGAGTAGCTAAGGGGAAAGAGTCCCTTATAAAACCATCAGATCTCATCAGAACTCACTCACTATCACAAGAACAGCATGGAGAAACTTCCCCCATGATCCAATAACCTCCCACCAGGTCTCTGCCTAGAAATGTGGGATTTATGGGAATTACAATTCCAGATGAGATTTGGTTGGGGACACAAAGACTAAATATATTATTCTATCCATGAAGGCTCCCAAATCTAATGTCCTCACATTTCAAAGCACAATCATGATTTCCCAAAAGTTGCCCAAAGTCTTAACTTATTCCAGCATTAACTCAAAAGTCCAAGTCCAAAGTCTCATCTGAGGCAACGAAAGTCTCTTCTGCCTATGAGCCTGTAAAATCAAAAGAAAAGTAGATACTTCCAAGATACAATGGGGGTACAGGCAATGGACAAATAATCCCATTCCAAATGGGGGAAATTGGCCAAAACAAAGGGACTACAGGCCCCATGCAAGTTTATAATTCAACAGGTAATCATTAAATCTTAAAGCTCCAAAATGATCTCCTTTAGCCCCATGTCTTACATTCAGGTCACGTTGATGCAAGAGGTATGTTCCCATGGTTTTGGGCATCTCTGCCCCTGTGGTTTTGCAGGGTACAGCCCACCCTCTGGCTGCTTTCATGGGATGGCATTGAGGGTCTGCATCTTTTCCAGGCACAAGGTGTAAGCTGTTGGTAGATCTACCATTCTGGGATCTGGAGGCTGGTGGCTGTCTTCTCATATCTCCACCTGGCAGTGCCCCAGTGGGCACTCAGTGTGTAGGCTCCAAACCCTCATTTTCCTTCTGCACTACCCAGGCAGAAGTTCTCCATGAGGGCTCTGCCCCTGCAGCAAACTTCTGTTTGAACATGTAAGCCTTTCCATACATTCTCTGAAATCTATGCAAAAGTTCTAAAACCTCAATTCTTGACTTCTGTGCATTTTCAGGCCCAACACCACCTGTAAGCCACCAAGGCTTGGAGTTTGCACCTTCCAAAGCAAAGACCTGAGTTGTACATTGGCCCCTTTGAGCCACAGCTGGGACACAGGACACCAAGTCTGGAGACTGCACAAAGCAGCAGCAGGGCCCTGGGCCTGGCCCACAAAACAATTTTTTCTTCCCAAGCCTCCATACCTGTGATGGGAAGGGCTGCTCTGAAGCCCTCTGACATGCTCTAGAGACATTTTTCCATTGTCTTTGTGATTAACATTTGGCTCCTCATTACTTATGCAAATTTCTGCAGCTAGTTTGAATATCTCTTAAAGATATGGGTTTTTCTTTACTACTGCATTGTCAAGCTGCAAATTTTCCAAACTTTTATACTCTGCTTCCCCTTTAAACATAAGTTCAAATTCTTAACCATCTCTTTGTGAATAAATAAAAATGAATTATTTTAAGAGCACACAAGTCACCTCTTCAATGCTTTGGTGATTAGAAATTTCTTCCCCCAGATGCCCTAAATCATCTCTCTCAAGTTCAAATTTCCACAGATCTCTAGAGCAGAGGCAAAATGCCACCAGTCTCCTTGCTAAAGTATAGCAAGAGTGACATATGCTCCGGTTTCCAAGAAGTTCCTCATCTCCAGCTGACAGTACCTTGGCCTGGACTTCATTGTCTACATGATTATTAGCATTTTGGTCTAAAATATTCAACAAGTCTCTAGGAAATTCCAAACTTTCCCACATATCTCTGTCTTCTTCTGAGCTCTCCAAACTGTTCCAACCTCTACCTGTTACCCAGTTCCAAAGTCACTTTCACATTTTCAAGTAAATTTATAGCAGTACCCCACTACCTTGGTATCAATTTACCGTATTAGGCCATTCTCATACTGCTACAAAGAAATAACTGAGATTAGGTAACTTATGAGGGAAAGAGGTTTAATTGACTCACTAGCCATGTCAACATCCATTATCCAGAGCCTATGAACCGGTAACCTTACATGGCAAAAGAGACTGATGGAATTAGATTAAGGTTCTTGAGATGGGAAAGTTATCCTGGATTATTTGGATGGGCACAATGTAATTCCAAGTGCTCTTTTAAAGGGAAAGAAAAAGGTTGTAGAGTTGGTCACAGAAGGAGATGTGAGAATAGAACCAAAGGTCAGAGACGGAGATTTGAAAGTACTACACTACTGGCTTTGAATATGGAGTAAGGGGCCACAAGCCAAGGAATGTATGTGACCTCTAAAAGCTGAAAAGAACAAGAAAATGGATTGTCCTCAAGAGCCCCTAGAAGAAATGTAGACCTACCAACATCTTAATTTAACCCAATGAGTCTGATATTGCACTTTTGAACTCCATACTATAGGATAACACATGGTTGTTTTAAGCCACTAAGCCCTTAAAAGAAGGCTATTTAAAAGCCCTTAAAAAACATTGGCCCTTAAAAGAAGGTCATTTTCTCTCTCTCTCTCTCTCTCTCTCTCTCTCTCTCTCTCTCTCTCTGTGTGTGTGTGTGTGTGTGTGTGTGTGTGTGTGTGTGTTTACATGAAAACAAGACTGTTGTCATGGACAATTCTTACAAATTTGAATTTTAGGTGGTTTCGTTATTCAATGTATATCTATTCTTTTTAGTATTTTGTTGGAAGAATGTCTAGTATACAAAGACAACAAGCATGCAATAGTTCTACAGAGTCATGTGTATCTATTTTAGAAAGCAGAATAAATTGTTGAAAGAGGCACTATTTATCGGATTTAGCATTCAATTTTTTTCCTACTTGATATGACTATATTTTAAAAACACATTTAAAAATATAAGAATAAAAATAATAACATTTTTTCACAGCTAAATATCAAGTCAATCACAAAGAAGAAAAGTCCAGAATTTACCAAAAATATTTTAGGTAGTAGAGAACTCGTAAATGTGTAACAACCAGGTCTCTAAAAGAAATATGTCCTGACATCATGTTTGCCAATTTCTCCAACCACAGCCTACCTTAGGCCATTTAAGGTCATGTCAGCTAGCTGGCAAAATTTTCTGAAAACCTTACAATTGATTCCTGCAAGCCAGAAGAAGCTAACAGCAGCACACCACTGGCTGCATAGCATACAACTTTTTGCTACCAGTAGGGGAAATTCTGACATCTGTATCTACTAAGAAGCTGGGTCACGCAGGTCCACTGGATGTTTTTTTCCTAAGGAAAAAAAACACTCATGCAACGATATTTTTTCTGAAGATAAATTATCACATAAAATGAACTGTCTTTTTTGAATGGCTATTTTGTGCTGGCTATCTAATTTTATATTCATTAACTCTATTAATTCTCACTGCAGCTATGTGATCTCAAATAATTCATAGCTCCCCAAATAAACTGTCTGCATCTAACTCTCAAGTATCTTTCATTACTGCAGAAAAACAGCCTTTCTTCACAATTGTTGATTGTTTTCCGACACATTAAATTAAATAAACACTGGAGTAGATTCTTTTATTTTAGCCACTCATTCTTTAGACTTTGTCTTAATGTTTGTTTTTCACTGAGAAAAAATAAAACTTACATTTTGACAAGTGCCTTCCACAATATGGAAAGCAAGCCTTCCACTTTACTTCTTTCAGCATGAAGCCGCCACAAAGTGAATTGTTCAAATAACATTTTTTTCAAAATATATAACTTTTGTCCTTCCCACTCACCCCCAACCCTGGTTCAAAATGAAAAGATCAGGAGGCAGAGTGTTTGAGGGGGGCATAGCTGGTAAACAATGAGGTGGCTCTCAGTGTATTAAAAGTTTCTAAGGTGTCTTTTCCTTTTCTAAACATGGTCCATCTGTGTACATCTTGGATAGTTTTTATTAAAATTATTTACTAATAATTTATTTATCCACAAAATACTTTGCAAAGTAACCTCTCTTCAGAGACATTGTTATAAATATAGCAAGTACAGCTACATTTAACAAATAAGTTAAACTATTATTATCCATTCTTTTGTTCAACCAAGTGAGCCGCAGTCTCTGGAGCAGTGTTGAAAGCATGTCTTTTGAACACATTAGAATAGGTGGTGCTTCATAGGGGACTATTTTTTACTTTGGCTTTCTGATTTTGATCCAAAATAGATTCAGCCATTTCTATCACACAATAATTTTCATCACAGGAGTGTCTCTTTATAAGGTGAAGCTAAAACTGACCATAAGAACTGTTAAAATACTTTTTAATGGTTTTCTTCCTAGCCAAGATGTTTCTTTTCACATTTTCCTTCAAAATTTTCATGATTTGTAAATGTCACTGCAGAAGTAATAGACCTATACATTTGCCTTCAAAGTAGCTTTTGGTTTTGTTTTTATTTTTTTTTTTTTATGCATAAGAGATCCAAGACTTAGGCTCGCGTGTGTTTCTAAGATGATCATCCCATATCTACATTTTTAAATGTATTATACTTTTCTTTATCTGACATTTTTATTCTGTAGTTATGGTTGGCTTAGTGCTAACATATGTACCATTCTCAAGCTCATCGTGAGGACTTTAGGAAAAATGCTAGGTCTGTTTCACTCTTGCTGAGTTCCAGTTGCTGTGAACTTTCTCCCATTATCAGTTGTCGCCCTGCACAGCAGCGACATCCTGGGCCTGGTGGCCAGCGCGGACGGCGAGCTGCACCTCAGCCACAACGGCTCGGCCGCCGGCATGCAGCTGTGCGTGGACGCCTCGCAGCCGCTCTGGATGCTCTTCGGCCTCCACGGGGACATCACGCAGATCCGCATCCTCGGCTCCACCATCCTGGCAGAGCGAGGTACCCCATCACTCCCCTGCTCCCCCGCCTCCACGCCAACCTCGCCCAGCGCCCTGGGCAGCCGTCTATCTGACCCCTTGCTCAGCACGTGCAGCTCTGGCCCTCTGGGTAGCTCTGCTGGTGGGACAGCCCCCAACTCACCAGTGAGCCTGCCTGAGTCACCAGTGACCCCAGGTCTGGGCCAGTGGAGCGATGAGTGCACCATTTGCTATGAACACGCAGTGGACACGGTCATCTACACATGTGGCCACATGTGCCTCTGCTATACCTGTGGCCTGCGCCTCAAGAAGGCTCTGCACGCCTGCTGCCCCATCTGCCGCCGCCCCATCAAGGACATCATCAAGACCTACCGCAGCTCCTAGCCCATTGCGGTGGGCCACCCCACACGCCCACCTCCTCGGGCTTCTGCCCAGCCCCAGCTGAGGAACAAGCCAGTGGGGCCCCTTCTCTTCCTCATTTTGGAAACTTTTCCTTTAAAAAAACTTGGCTTTTTTTAAGCTTATACTTCAAAGTATTTTTTTATCACCAAATATTATTACCAATTGAAAATTTAATTTTAAGCAATATATTTTAAAGTGAATGATGAATGACATTAAAATCACAACACACACAAATCATCAAATATAGAATTTAAAATACGACCATATCAGTCAGGAATCACCATAAGAAGAGAAGAAACTTCAACACAGTAGTATATATGCAGGTAAAATGTTTAGATACAATTGTAGCACGAATTGAACTAATCTGCAGTAATCCATTTTGTAGTGTGTAATCAAAAGTTCAAAACACCTGATTTCAAAGATGGAAACTTTTATTTCAGAAGAAATAGCAGAGGTCATCTCCTTCTGCTCCTTTACTCCACAGCCAGTGTGTGCAACTCAGACTGCACTAGGATGCCTGAGTCAGTCTCCATCCCTAGTAGCTCATTCTTGCTCTCATGTCATTTTCCTTCTCTCTAGGCTGTCAAAGCAACTAGCAACCAGACTGGCCAAAAATAAGTTTCACTCTTTTTGCTTATAATAAAACCACTTTTAAATATTTACATATACTTGGTAATACCTAGATTATTTGGCACTATTCAGTACTATCCAGTGAAGAAACAGAATGAAAATATAGTGTCATCATGACCAGAGACTTCTTTTAAACCTTCAGAAAACTTGCCAGAATAGTACAGTAAAAATGACTATGCCCTTCACACAGATCAGTATTTTTCAGCCTTTAATTTAAAATAATGCCCTCCTAAGAAGCTTTTTAGACACTTTTTCCTAATTGTAAACCCCCACCCAAGTTTTAATACTACAGGTATACTATATATCTGTTGGTGCACTCTATGTGTACACAAGTAATACAAAAAGAGTTAAGCTTCTGGCATCCTAAGAACCAATTTTCACCCTCTTGAAGGTGATAGGATACCGGTTGAGAACCCATGACCTAGATACGCCACTTCTTAATATTTTTCCACAGTTATTTTTTCTCTCTCTAATACAATATTATACACACACACACATACACACACATATACATTCAGAAAAATTGATGCTCCAAAAATAAGTGCCATATTTATCTTGAATCTGAGGATCCTGGAGACAAACCTAACCCAGTTAAAGACCCAATCAGATCTATTAGACTCATCTCTAGATACACTATTAAATTTCAAGCAAAGAGCATCCATCACAAATCTTCCAATATGAATTAATTGCACATTATACAGTTACATAATTGAATGATGAGACTTACTATATAGATAATACCATAAATTATCATTTTAGCTTTACAGTGGTTGAACTGCACACACTATTTTTGGCCAAAATTAATCAGCATAACTTGCTTACAGCCAGTAAGTTGCCTGAGGTCTAAAACCCTTGTATATTTCTTCCTGATAATTAAGGTGAGATAAATGGTCTTTCCAGATGTCAAAGTCAATCTAGAGGTTCAAGGAAGAGACTCATCAGTCTTGCCTTGGGTAGTTATGGTGAAAATCTCCTCTCTGATGACTCTGGCCATTGAATTCTAACACTCCCATGAAAATTTATTTGAGCTTTTTAGAGGTGATAAGGAGTTTATGGTGTTCAACTTGATAACATCTTAAGTGGTTGCTTCTGATACCCATTCTTAAAACAATTTTGTTTTATATATTTAAATAAGTTCCTAATATTTTTGTTTGAAGAAATATTTTCATGATAAAAATATGATTTTTTTTTTAATCCAAAAAAGTAATCTAACTCAGGGATTTGGTAAATTTTTCCCTACAGGTCCAAAGAGTAAATATTTTTTGTTTTAACACAGCTACCAAATTCTTCCAAAGTAATGTAAAAACAACCATAGACGATACATAAACAAATGAGTGTGGCTGTGTTCCCATATATCTTTAGAAAAGCAGGCATCAGACTAGATTTGACTGTAAGCCATAGTTGGCTGACTCACTGGTCTAATTCATTGTAGTCATTGTTAAGGAGGAAAGTTTTTCCTCCTGTACAGGTCTATGATTCCTAGTTAGTAAAGTATGAGAGATAATGTTGGTTAAGTTTCACAAATATAAATAAATAATCTAAAACAATAAATTATATATCAAGCACAAAAAGATTGTTATAAATCACAAGATTATATTTATTAGCAATGGTGTTCATGAATTTGTTTGTTTCAAGGAATATGTATGTGCCATATACTTAAACATTGAATAAACTGAGTAGACAGCATAGAAAAGAACAATAAACTCTTACTTTTTTACTGCAGCACAGATTATAATTTAGGAACCCTGTTGAAAGCTAATTGCATTAGGCAAATAAAAATATTGTATGTCAGAAAAGTAAATATTGACAAATAAAACCAGAAGAATTTATGAAACTATAAAATATATCTGCTTTTACCACAAACTGTAATGTAGCATATTGAATAGATAATAAAAGTTTTGAGTAGATAATAAAAGATAAAGGTTTGGCTTTAACGGCTTAGAAGCTACAAGTACTGCAAGTGATCTTTTTTTATCAGCACTAAACTCAGTGTCCTTATTAGTAGATTTCACTTAGTCATGATTTCAGTGATTTTTTTTCCTTGTACACTGAAACTATTGTCAAGGATTTTCGTGCATCTCAATTGACAAGAGAAATACTGTTTACTCTGATTTGCTTTTCTTGCAAGTTTTCAGTGCACATATAAGCAATTTATCCGCATTCAAGGCTATCTGTGGGTCACATGAAAACACTTAAAACTTAACAGAATCTTAATAATGCTCATGTTGGAGAAAATGTCAAATGGTAAGCAGCAGATGTGCAAATTTTAGTAGGAATTCAGGAACTTATATGTTATTTTTATGGAATAATTTAGTAAATAGATAAGATTGTCCTCCAGAATACTATTTCAAAAGACACTCCTAAAAAAGATGTTTGAACAGCAGCGAAAGAAAAAGTTTAACAAGATAGTGTTAAGGTAACTTTAAATAACTAAGACCATTGTGTCAAATACCTTTATGAACAAAATAATGACAAACCACCAAGGTTAAGCAAGTTCAACCATACTGTTCAAAAAATGGCTTCTTTAAAAGAGCCTGTTGTTACAGTGGCCCCAAACATTTTCATTTGCACATCTTCGCTTGGTCAATGAAAGATGACAGATAAAACCTGTGGCATAGATAAATGCCATCTCACTCTGAATCAGACCTGCAGTGGTGTATTTCACTTTTAATCTCTTGCCCTGCTATTGGTGGTGAAGATTAAGGCTTCTTTCTTTGACTGCACCATTTCAACATCACAGCCTCATTTAATGTAACTATAGTATTTCACCGGGAGGCAGCCAGATCACAGAGGCTGTCAACAAATCCATGTTTCCTTACAGTAAAAAGTTTTCTAAATACTCTTAGATTAAATGTGCTTGAAATCAGGAAATGGTATGTCCTGAATTCCAAAAAACACACTGGTTGCTTATAAGCTTCTGTGAGATTTGCCAAGTTACATCTGTCAAGCAACCCACCTCAGAGCTTCAGTAGGACTTTAAGGACCTCGTAATTTGAAAATATCAGCTTCATTGCTTTGTATGTCCTTCTGGTAATAAATAAAAAGCATGTCTCTTCCTCAGGCTAAACTGAAGATTCTAAGAAATTAAACTCTCCCAAAAGTAAAAATAATTGCTTATCAAAACATTAGCAAAAATATTAATAATGTTTCTCTATCGTAAAAAGTTACAGAAAACAGAATACCAAACCTTAAAGAAAACACTTAAAAATAGTTCAATTTATTTGACACACACATTTTATACATATATATGTCTTTATATAATATATATATATTATATTTCATCAGTTTGTCTTTTGTCTTTGTATTTTTTGCCTGTATTCTTTCTAACTTTTATGTCATATATATATGGGACTATCTCATATCTCATATATATACATGACATGGATAGATATAAGTCATGGGATATATGTATATGTGTATATATAATGTATGCATATATGTTTTTTAACATTGTCCACTTAAACAGCTCTCACACAAATAAAGTATTGTCAAATGAATGGAGACCATAAACAGACATTTATAAAAGAAGAAATACAAACATTTTAAAAATGCAAATTAAAATAACAATGATAAATTATTTTTAACTACTTGATTGCCGAAGATGTAAAACATGGGAAGACATCCAATATTGGTACCAGGGTGGCAAAAAATGTGTGCATTATTAGGATATAAATTAATGTTAACCTCTTAGCAGAAAAAACTATCAATGTGTATCAAAATGTTAAAATGCTGTGCTATACCTTTGAGTACATAATAGAAACAACATTGAGCAAATATATATAGATGTTCTACCGCTTTGAATATATACTAAAATGAAACATTGAGATATTACTCAAAGATGTTCACTGGAGCACTACTTATAATGGGCATTAATAGGTAATATTAAGTGTTCAATAGATAATATTTGTCAAATTCTCATTACAAACATTCACAGTGCTAAACATTGTATGGTGCATTTTACAGAGGATTAGATAATTTACATAACTTTTCCAAATGTAGCCAGCCAATGAATGGCACAACCACTAAAATTCAAGTCTATCTGATCAAAAAGTTATTGGCTAAAATAAAGCGTACTACAAAATAATTAGTCTACTTATCTAAAGAAGCATCCATGCATTCAATACTCTATATACACCAAATCGATAGAACACATAATGGTAAAAGAACAGTCTCTTCAATAAATGGTGATGGCAAAACACATTCTACATGTTATCCACATGTAGAAAAGTGAAATGGACTTTTATCTCACGCCATATACAAAACTAAGTCAAAATGAATTAAGGACTTAAACATAAGACCTAAAACAGTAAAACTATAAGAAGAAAACAGGAAAAAGCTTCTTGGCATTGGTCTGAGCAATCACTTTTTGGCCATGTCCAGCAGCACTAGCAACAAAGCAAAAATAGAAAAATGGGATTGCATCAAACTAAAGCTGCTGAACAACAATAAAAACAACC